AGAAGCTGAAAATCTAGAACTGAAGAAAAGGATGAAAGGGGTAACTAATAAAACTTTTAAAGGAAAGAATGAGGCAAGCAACTTGCAGCTGGAGCTTGAAAATAAGCTGCACACTGCTGAAATGAAGACCAAAATTGCATTAGAAAGAAATCTTGAGTTAGAGAGGGACCTGGTCCGTGTAAAAGAGGAACTGGAAAAATCTCTCAAATGGACCAATTCCTCTAAGATTCTTACAAATCTGATCGGTCAAGACAACAACAGTAGAAGAGGGTTAGGCTGTGACAAGATAAAATCCTCCTACAATCCTCGAAGAAAAAGTGTTCCTGATACTGACAATCTGTTGTCTGAGAATTGTTGTTGAGATGGAAATCATAAGAAAGATTGTCCAATTTTGGAAAAATTTGAAGGAGGTTCGTCAAATTATTCCAAACAGCTGAAAAGAGCTAAAGAAAGGCATGTGAAGTTTGTCCGATCTGAAAATAATCAAGAAAAGAAAGAAAGGAAACCTGGTCTTCATGCGAAATTTTTCAGATCCGATAGTAATGTGGAAACGGAGCATAAGGGACCTGGTCCTCGCTATCGTTTTAGCAAGAAAACTTTGCCCCCTTGGACAGGTAGGTTTCTTGTTAAGCCTTTTGACAGTTATTGGGAACTCTGTTTGAAGTGGGTTCCTAAGTCTAACAAGTAATTCTGGTGCAAAAGAGAGGAAGTTGGCAGTGTTGGTTTATAAATAGCAGATGCTCAAAACACATGACTAAGAAGATTACAAAACTTCCTCTCTCTCAAGACACTTCAAGGTAGAGGTGTCTCTTTTGGCGAATGGCAAGAAACACTACATTCTTGGTGTAGATTTATGATGAATGAAGCTAAGCTCTTATCAGATAACTATTTTGTCACAAACTTGCTCTCTCGGGTGATGATTTTTTATACAAAAGAGATGCAAGAACATGTATATTGCTGATCTGTTTACTGCTCATTGTGATAGTATCACTGAACTTAATGCTCAAGATATGAATGCTGAGGTATAATTAAGGAGACGTGCTCATGAGTGTTGCTTTGCTGCACAAACCTGTGTCAGAGGACCTGGTCCAGTCTGCATAAAATAATATTTGCAAATGACAAAGGTTGTGATGATGATGTTAAGGAGAAGCAGATCAGACCTCCTTCAGGTGAAATATGCAGACTTTGAATCTTTCAAGAAACTTTCAACTGAAGTGATAAATGATACATGTTTGTGACCAAAATGATGATAATGAGAAGTTTGATCTCAACATTGATAAAAGAATAATTGTGGTACACTCTTCCTCCAGCAAGGCTTATCAGGGGTATACTAAAAATGGTCATGTGTTTATTGATGAGTCTAGAAGATTTTAGAAGTTGCAAGGAAAGAAGTTTCTGAGATAGAAGAGTTGCTTCAGAATCAGAGAGATGGTTTAAATAGTGAGTTTGCTGAAGAACATCCTCATAAATCCAACAATCTCAAAGAAGATGATGCATATGATTAACCTGATGAGGGACCTGGTCCTTTAGACAGTGCTGAACAAAGATGATGCAGTTCAAACTGATAATGTGAATTTTGAAGGTGAGAATGAAGAAGCTAATCAAGCTCAGTTTGAAAGAAGCAAACTCTGATAGTCGGTTCCCTAACAAGCTGATCGGTTGTCCAAGTTGCTCTTCAACAATGTATTCATGAGAGGTAAAAATGTCAAAAACTCTTCTCTTTGAATTCAATATGCAAGGAACTGCTGATCATTCAGGTACATATTGATAATGTCATCTTTGAGGCAACCTTTGAGGTGTTGTGTGAAGAGAAGCTTTGTTAAAAGGCAAGATTCAATTGCTCTTTCATCAACATGAGGCAATAAATATAGCAAGTGCAACTTGATAGGTTCAACTCTTGTGGATCAGGAAACATCTTGAAACTTATAAAAATCTGGCTGAATTAATCAAGATGATGATGGAAATGCTAAAACCTTCTTGAATGGATCCTACCTGAAGCAATCAACTCTTTTAATGACTATGAAAAGGGAGCAGGTATCCTTGCTTTTCGGTTATGTATGTTTTAGCAAATTCAGTTTCATACCTTTTGTAGGTATACACACATGGAAAAGGGGATGAAGAAAAAGGGAGGTCAGGATAGATCTAGGCAATGACATTCAAACTACAGAGAGGGACCTGGTCCTTTCTAGAAGGTTAGCAATCTTAACATTGCAGCTTGAATTATGCATGAGAACCATCGAAATTGCCACATGTCTGTCCTTCAGGAATCTGGCTGTTGTTTCATCTTTTGAGTGCCAAAATGATACCTTATTTTCTCTTTCTTTATATTCCATATTTCTTCTATTTTCCCAGAAAAATCGAGTTGCCTTCCAAATATCAAGGTGCTTCAAAATTCTCTTTTCTCTTCTTTTCAAACACACTTCAAATTGTTAACCCCTTGATTCTTGCTGGAGAATTCTTTGATGAAAATATTTTAAGTGTGAAGAGGGATCTGGTCCTCCATGAAAAATGAAGAAGTGGAAAAGATGATGCTAAAAAAGGAGAAGTTGATATTCTGAGAACTCAAATTTTTCTGAAGAGGAAGGTGTAAAAAAAATCTTCTTGATTCCTCAATTGTTGATCTATTCATCTCGGAGGCCTTGAGTTGTTTGTGTTACCAATCTTTCTGTTATGAAAAACTCAGGCTGGTATTGGAAGCTATGTCAGTTGCTCGTGTTAACTGGAATACTGAAATGGGTTGTTTAAAAGTCCAGCATTCTGAAACAACACTATCAGAGGGACCAGGTGCCAACAAAAAAAATAAAAAATAAAAATTGGCAGCCCTGAAGGTTAAACATACAGGTTTGGCTGCACATTATGTTGTACGCTAAGAGAAGATTCTTGAAATCTTATGCTAGAGATAAGATCTACTAATTCTATTCTTTCAATCCCTTGCCTCTAAATCATCCCTTCTCTTCCTACCTCTCTATGTCAGTCCTCATTTCTCTCTTTGGGCATTATTTTGGTTTTCATTTGTAATCAATTTTGCAATGCTTTGATGACTGATCTTTTGTTTATGAATGTTAAATGTCTTGTTTCTACTGACTTGTCTCATTACTTTATGCCTTTTAATCATGCTCAGTGTTGCCTAAGTGGCCATGAATTTGCAAGAACTGTATTTCTGTCAACTTGGTTTACTGCTGTAACCCTTTTTTATGATGTCAAAAGGGGGAAAGTTGTTAAGGTAAGGTATGAGATCAATAGTGTTCTAACTGCTTGAAGAAGACAGTCGCATCGATAGGAGGAATCAATGGTAGCTACTTGAAGAGATAGGTCATACTGATAGGGGGAATAAATGCTTGCTGCTTGCTACCTGATGAGGACCTGGTCCTGTCGATAGGCGGAAGAAGATGTTTGTCATCATCAAAAAGGGGGAAGATGATATGTTGATGTTTTGATGATTTGACAAACTTTAGGTATGATTAAGTTACCCCAAGAATTCTTTTTGATAGGGAGGAACTGATGAATAAGTATGTCATCATTAAAAAGGAGGAAAATGCTATGTTGATATTTTGATGAGTTGACAAACTTTGAGATGATGAACTCAAGTTACCCTAAGAATTCTTTCTGATAGGGGAAACTGATCAATAAGTATGTCATCATCAAAAAGGGGGAAAATGTTAGTTCGAAGCTCAGTGTAAGATATATTTGTGTGCTATCATCAAAAAGGGGGAAATGTTATATTCTAGGTGTTTTGATGATCCTCACAAATGCAGGGACCTGGTTCCTGGCAGAGTGCTCTCGTCCAGATACAAATGGGGTACAGTCATAAAAGTTGTCATGTCAGGTGGTAGGTGAAACATGCAGTATCCTACACCAATAAAAAGAGCGGATGAGATTGTATGTTTCAGTATCTCACAAATGCAGGGACCTGGTACCAGGCAGAGTTTCCTCCATCAGATACATAATTGGTTACAGCTGTAAAGCTGTCACGTCAGAGGTTGGTAAGGCGTCAGTGTACTACACCAATCAGAATGGAGGAGGGTGTTTGTCCAACGGATAATAACTCTTTATGTTTGATATTTTTAGCATGACAAAC